GAAAAACGCATGTCAAAAATGTTATAAATTGATTTGCATTTTAATGAGGGAAATAAGTATTTGACCCCTCTGCAAAACATGACTTAGTACTTGGTGGCAAAACCCTTGTTGGCAATCACAGAGGTCAGACGTTTCTTGTAGTTGGCCACCAGGTTTGCACACATCTCAGGAGGGATTTTGGCCCACTCTTCTTTGCAGATCTTCTCCAAGTCATTAAGGTTTCGAGACTGACGTTTGGCAACCTGAACCTTCAGCTCCCTCCACAGATTTTCTATAGGATTAAGATCTCGAGACTAGCTAGGCCACTCCAGGACCTTAATGTACTTCTTCTTGAGCCACTCCTTTGTTGCCTTGGCCGTGTGTTTTGGGTCATTGTCATGCTGGAATACCCATCCACGACCCATTTTCAATGCCCTGGCTGAGGGAAGGAGGTTCTCACCCAAGATTTGACAGTAGTCCTGTCCCCTTAGCAGAAAAACACCCCCAAAGCATAATGTTTTCACCTCCATGTTTGACGGTGGGGATGGTGTTCTTGGGGTCATAGGCAGCATTCCTCCTCCTCCAAACACGGCGAGTTGAGTTGATGCCAAAGAGCTCGATTTTGGTCTCATCTGACCACAACACTTTCACCCAGTTCTCCTCTGAATCATTCAGGTGTTCATTGGCAAACTTCAGACGGCCCTGTATATGTGCTTTCTTGAGCAGGGGGACCTTGCGAGCGCTGCAGGATTTCAGTCCTTCACGGCGTAGTGTGTAACCAATTGTTTTCTTGGTGACTATGGTCCCAGATGCCTTGGGATCATTGACAAGATCCTCCCCTGTAGTTCTGGGCTGATTCCTCACCGTTCTCATGATCATTGCAACTCCACGAGGTGAGATCTTGCATGGAGCCCCAGGCCGAGGGAGATTGACAGTTATTTTGTGTTTCTTCCATTTGCAAATAATCGCACCAACTGTTGTCACCTTCTCACCAAGCTGCTTGGCGATGGTGTTGTAGCCCATTCCAGCCTTGTGTAGCTCTACAATCTTGTCCCTGACATCCTTGGAGAGCTCTTTGGTCTTGGCCATGGTGGAGAGTTTGGAATCTGATTGATTGATTGCTTCTGTGGACAGGTGTCTTTTATACAGGTAACAAACTGAGATTAGGAGCAATCCCTTTAAGAGTGTGCTCCTAATCTCAGCTCGTTACCTGTATAAAAGACACCTGGGAGCCAGAAATCTTGCTGATTGAGAGGGGGTCAAATACTTATTTCCCTCATTAAAATGCAAATCAATGTATAAAATTTTTGACATGCGTTTTTCTGGATTTTTTTGTTGTTATTTCTTTGTCAGTGGGCAAACGTACAAAATCAGCAGGGGATCAAATACTTTTTTCCCTCACTGTATGACTGGGCAAAAGTTTAATAATCCAAATCATTTTATATTTCTACATTTGCAAGACTAGATTACAGTTAATTGTTTATCACAGTAATCCAAATAATTTGTATGTACAAGAATCCAGTGTTCAAGTCTTTCACCCACCTTAGTCCTCCTTGGTCAATAGTGTCATATGGTTTGTGATTTGATGAAGATTTCAATTGTGCAGTCTGAATTCTCTATTCAAAGACATATATCTGTAACAAATGAAATAAATTACCCCTTTACATCCACCCACCTGCCCACTGCTCCTCCATTATTGATACCATTTTGAGGCTGAGAGAATGTATCGTTCCGTTGTACAGTATATACCATCATGTCTGCCAGGTGTTGATGGGCAGGTAATGATACGTTTGTGATATAGGAATGCATATCTTTCTGCTGGGGGAAAGACAACAATAAAACAAGTTACATAGGCAACGTTTTAAAAATCTTGAATGGTGATTTCAATCAACAATACTACTTTACAATAAATTATAATAATTAGCAAGTATATGATATAACTGATTTTATGTGTCTATTTAGGATTGATATAGATTCTATGAGACATGGAAATGCCTTGGTTATCATCCAGACCAGACTATTACAATGCCTCAAGCCAAATCCTGTCTAGCCTGCAAGCATTACTGCATCCACCCACCACCACCATCAAGTAAGAGGGGGCCAGGGGGGAGAGCTCTGTCTGAAAGCCCAATCACAGTGGCATCAGCTGGGGATGGGGATGGGGAAGTAGCAGCACAGCAGTGGGCACCATCAGGCCATAATAAAGTTAATGACGCAGAATGGTGTCTTTTCTCCTGCCCCAGAAGAATGTCAATACAGGATGTTTAAGAACACTGTACCTAATTACGCTTTTTAAATTCACAGCTGACATGATTGATGATTTCAAAGGGAGGCATTATCAATCCACCTCACAGACAAGTCCTATTAATTGCAAGTCTAGATTGACTATAACTTTTTTCTTTACAATCAACAGAGCATCTACAGTATGTGACCAGGTGGGTGTTTTTTTCAATGGTGGTGGGGGCTAAATCATTACTTAAAAAGCATTTTGATGAAGGCCTTATAGAGGATGTGGCAGTTGTGCAGCTGCTGTATTGTGTTACTGACTGCAATCATCTGTAATGGATTGGTGAATGCGCGGTTGCATTGGCAGCCCCTGCCTGCCTTCTCCTACAGCTCCCTCTTGACATGCTCATGTCGCATGCTTATTATATCATCAACTTTGTTATTCCTTACCAGCAGCAAGGTCGACAGCGTCACTCTATTAGCTGCCTGTTACTGCACATCTAATGCTAGTCTGACTGCTATAGGAGACTCTGGGTAAATTTGACGTGACAAACTCCTTTCTGCCTGGAGTCAACATAGAGGAGCAGGAGGAATGGAATTCACTGTATGTTTTGGGGAAGGTTCCTGGCTCCATTGTCGATGACAATTAAGAAACATTACTGTTAACATCACAGATGCAAGATTGAGAATTTGAATGAATTGGAAAATGAACCAGAACAGAGAATAAATATTCTATGACATTTTTCCAATTGCACTTGCCAAGTGCACTTTAAATGGCAACATGGGCTCTACAATTGATAATTAAATTGTTTGCAGGCACAGTCATTTTGTTCTGTTTGGAGAGAGCCCTTTCCCTTTTTGAAGGCCAAAGTTAATGCAGTCATAGAAAGAACTCTGATGGCCATGTGAGGAAAGCCCTGAGGGAGCAAAGGCCTTGAATTAATGTGTGCCTGTGCGTGCATGCATGTGTGTGTGCGTGTTTGAAAGGGAGAGAGAGAGAGCTCAGTTCAAACATACTGATCCTCAAATATCCTTTAGTTTCTAGTTCCCATTAAAAATATATTCTACAGTGAGTGTCTGCTAACGGCTCTGTTTTGCTGCTCCCTCTTTTTCGGCAGAGCTTTCAGTTAAATGATGACAGATTGTGAGCTACCTGATATCCTTCATCATTCTCCCCAGTGGAGGTGTTTGTTCCGCCCTGAGTGGGACCTGGAGGACTAACAAGCAGCCGGCATGTTTAAAGGACTATGGGGAAACATCTGCTCTCTCTTGCTTTACTTGCGATGAGAATGAAAACAACATAATAAAATAGAACAAATCAATCTATCAACTACAAATGCACTCCCCTATCCTCAAATTGACCTCAGTGCAGACTTTTGGGTGATCAAATCCCATTTTTGTCAATTTCTTGCGGTAAATTGAGTTTGCAAGAAAGGCATTTCACTGTACTTGTGCATGTGACATTAAAAACTTGAAACTTGAAATTAGTAAGCAAGGCCATTTTGGCATCTTTGCTGCATATTCCCCAGGATAACGCGTTGCGTTAAGTACTAAAGCCCAGGGTGTTTCGATTACAGTGTTTTCCAAACTGTGGTGCATGTGGGCACCCCCAGGGGTAAACAAGTCAGCTGGAAGGTGTACGTACATAGCCTACTTGGACTGACAATCTGTAATGGCAGACTTAAAAAAAAAAAAAAAAATTAACCTTTATTTAACTAGACAAGTCAGTTAAGAACAAATTCTTATTTACAATGACGGCCTACCAAAAGGCAAAAGGCCTCCTGTGGGGATGGGGGCTGGGATTTAAAATAAAAATATAGGACAAAACACACATCACGACAAGAGAGACACCACAACACTACATAAAGAGAGACCTAAGACAACAACATAGCATGGCAGCAACGAATGACAACACAGCATGGTAGCAACACCACATGACAACAACATTGTTGCAACACAACATGTCAGCAGCACAACATGGTAGCAGCATAACATGGTAAAAACATTATTGGGCACAGACAACAGCACAAAGGCAAGAAGGTAGAGACAGCAATACATCACGCGAAGCAGCCACAACTGTGAGTAAGAGTGTCCATGATTGAGTCTTTGAATGAAGAGATGGAGATAAAACTGTCCAGTTTGAGTGTTTTTTGCAGCTCGTTCCAGTCGCTAGCTGCAGCGAACTGAAAAGAGGAGTGACCCAGGGATGTGTGTGCTTTGGGGACCTTGAACAGAATGTGAATGGCAGAACGGGTGTTGTATGTGTAGGATGAGGGCTGCAGTAGGTATCTCAGATAGGGGGGAGTGAGGCCTAAGAGGGTTTTATAAATAAGCATCAACTAGTGGGTCTTGCGACGGGTATACAGAGATGCAGAGCAACTTGTCTGTTGCTGTATTTTTCATGTATATTATCAAGCCATTTTTCTCAGTATGATGATCCATAGGCCTATATTATCACTAAAAGTTCAAGTTAATTTACTTTCAGTTGAGTATTAGCAGCAGAGAGATTGCTATTATGGCCAATAGTAATGGCTCAGAAGATAAATGATTTATCGTGGATGTAATGCAGAGCGCTGGTAGGTGCTCCTTCTCTACATTATGTGGTTTTCTATATTGTGTTCCAAAATTGCTTTAACAAGTTTCTATTTGGGTTGAGAGCATTTGACAGATGGCATCAGAAGCCAAGCAAGAAAGAGCAATGGCGTTTCTTCCTCTTGTTCGCTAGGGGGCGGTAAAGACAAAGGCTCGCCACAATAACCAAGCAGACCCTCTTCCAAGACAAAACCACTATTTTGTTTGTCCATCATGGCTGCGCCCTTAGTTCAATGTGAAAGTAAACAATCATGGTGCCATGAAGTAACCTTGCGTTTCGGATAGAGTCACCGAAGTATGTTGGAATTTCAGCGATAGCTCGGATAGATAAGTTTATATCATAAATGGCTTTCCGTGTGAGCATCTCGATTTTCCGGAAATCTTTACGTTTTCCGAGAGTTGCTAACGTGTCTGCGCCACTGGAAAATGCGTCACTGTTTCTCAGAACCGGTCAGTCGTCTACCTTATCTGCTTATTAATAAGCGATCATGCAAATGTCATAACATTTCCTCCACCCAGAAATATACTTAATTTTGTCCGAAACAAATTTATAATTATATTTTCTTGTCAGTCATGACAGCCATGCCTTATAGTTGGCTAGCTAGCTAATCAGAGATAGTCAGTTAACGTTAGTTATTTCATTTTGAGGAAATAGCTCCATTGATGTCAGGTTACATAACGTTACATGTAATTTAGCTATAATTAGTTTGAAAAAAAGTAATTCGTGCGTCATTGTAAACTAACGTTAGGCATCACCGTTGCATCAATTACCTGGCAAGTCTACGCAGTGATGATGATAATCTCGATGTCTCTGTTGCTTTGGTTTAGGATGGGCTGCCCGTCGTCCAGGGACCAATAATGGACACGGTTTTCCCTTCACTCCTGCCTGTTTTATTACATCGGATGCGTTTTTGAGCAGACTGGCGAAAGGCAAAGCGGCGGAGACAGATGACACTCTTTATCACTATCCAGCCTCAGTTCTGCCCGACAGCGGTAATCTCAACTGCTGCCTCTGAAAACAAAATAGTTAGTTACCTCGGGGTTTAGGGCATCGCAGTAGAGTTTCTCCTTATCCAAATGCTGCGCACTGAATGAATGTCTAAGAATATTACATATGCCCTTGTATTCTGTAGATCTGTATTATGTATTTCATATTTTACTCATACTTCTGATAAATCAACCCCTTAACTCTTGTTTCAGCTGAACAATTATCATTGCTGGTGAAGGATCCAGATCAACCAGAGAACTCAAAGGTTTTAAGAGTGGCCATCATTGGTGCCCCAAATGCTGGGAAGTCCACACTGTCCAACCAACTGCTTGGCAGAAAGGTACTTCACTTTATTGTACTGGCCAGTTTCTTCACTTTAAATTGTACACATCATGAGTCACTCTTGAGTCAGTCTGGAGTGTATTTCCATGAACATCAGTTTCTTTGATATGATCATAGGTGTTTGCTGTTTCCAAGAAAGTGCACACCACACGGTCCCGTGCCCTCGGCGTTCTCACAGAAGACGACACACAGATTGTAAGTTAGAATCAGCTCACAGACCATGCATTTAGCATAGCAGCAATTTGGCAAGTGTTTATTTGTTTTTCAGGGCCTTTTTACATTATGTACAGTATCTATTTTTAGATAACCAAACTTGTACATGCATACTTATACATTCTCTCTCTAGATTTTACTGGACACTCCTGGACTCACTACACCTACAAAAGTCAAGAGGTGATTTGTTACACTGATTTCATTACTGTGGTATTGCAGTGTTAAAACGAAATAGGTGAATTTCCAACAGTGGTATTTATCTTCTCCACAGGCACCAGCTGGAGAAGTCTCTCCTCGAGGATCCTTGGAATACAGTCAAGGAAGCTGGCCTCGGTACTGCATGACTCTTCACTTTTTGTAACTTTTCGGGCACACAGATGATCGGCCATAACTCGGCCATTGCTTTTCAGACATTCTAGTCTATGCTTTTTAAACAGTATGTGGTCCCCAAAGTGTATGTGGTCCCATACATTTTCACAATTCCTTTTAAATAAATAATTTTGTGGGGACTGCATTGACACACATGGATCTGGCATGTATATAGGATTATGAGTGAGTGTCACTGGCCTATACCATCATGTTTATGTCCTCTTCTTGTTGTTATTGCGTCAGTGGTGGTAATGGTGGATGTGTCAGACAAGTGGGCCTGCAACAAGCTAGACTTTGAGGTCCTGAAATGCCTGACCCAATACCCAGATGTCCCAGCAGTCCTAGTTCTCAATAAGGTACAACTTCTTTATCACACGCATGCAAACCTCATCCTCTCTCCATGGCCTTGTCAATAATAACTGATCATGGTTGTCATATGATATAATGCATTATTATGATGTAATAGATTAGGAACTGTCTGAATTGGCACATGAACTGTGTACTGTGTATGGCACAGGTTGACCTGCTGAAGAGCAAGAGCAGGTTGTTGGAGATCACAGCAGATCTGACATGTGGAGTGGTGAACGGGCGGAAGCTGCAGGTCCGCAGTGTGATCAAGCCCCCCTGGGCTGAGAGGAGGACAGACAGGGAGGCCAGGACATCAGGGTCTGGAGATGAGGACAAGCCGGGTGGTGATGTGGCTCCTGGTGAGGGCAGTGAGGCCCAGTCAGGGCTGAGTAAGGAGCAGCTTAGGGCTCTGAAGACCCAACAGGGCTGGCCTCACTTCAAGGACGTCTTCATGCTCTCTGCTGTGGATGGAGAGGATGTGGAGACACTGAAGGTAATGTTAGCATATGGTGATATAGGGACTTATAAAGTAATGTATCTAATACTAAGTTGACAAGTACAGTCATTGTAGAATAATTGGAGTTATTTGAAAGCAATGGACATCAATTCTAGCTATGTTGATGTATAACAATTAACTAAGATTGCTGTTGACGACTGTCTGTGCCTGCCTGACTGTCTGCTCGACAGACATACCTAGTAGTGGGGGCAAAGCCTGGGTCTTGGCAATACCACAGTGATGTCCTGACAGATCAGACCCCTGAGGAGGTCTGCACCAACACTGTCAGAGAGAAGCTTCTGGAATATCTGCCCAAAGAAGTCCCTTACACAATGACACAGGTGACTCGTCATTACGGACACACATAGACTGCACAGCCAGACGATGCACTGCACTCATATAGCCAAATGCAGATATAGTGCATGTGCATGTTAACCATTTTAACTGTCAAGCACTATCTTCCATCCCAGCTTGAGATGTATTGTAGGTCCAGTGTCCAATCACAATGATTATTGACGCTTTAGTCCCTAATATCTATCTGATGATTGTGTGCCAGATATAAATGTTGTAGCACATGTAGAGAAATACTCACGGTAGTACTACCTTTGAAATTATATTAACTTTTTATTTCTCTCAATTGCAGGCCATTGACTTGTGGCACGACAGGGAGAATGGAGAGCTGGATATAGCAGTAAAACTGTATGTGAAGAAAGAAAGTCACATGGTAAGTGTGCTGCATTTCTCAGTACTATTTTCCATGTAGATTTCGATGTCTCCTGTTGTGAAACACGTCAATGAGCACCCCTACCAACCTCACTACGTTACTAACTAACACGTGAGAAGCCATCAGTGGAAGGAGATAAAGACGAGGAGAAAAGCTACGGGAACTTTCTCGTAGATGGAGCGAGGCTCCACCCTCTATGGGTGTGGCCCTTCACATAGACCTGTCAATGTGTCGATAGATAGTTAATCTGAAGCGGCTCTTTGACTTATTTCCATCCCCCCTTAAAATCACATCCCCATGGTGAGTCTATAGCTTGATTCTACGAGATATCTCTTATCAGGGTTGGGGTCAATTCCGCTTCAATTTACTAAATTCAGGAAGTAAACTGAAATGTCAAATTTCAATTCCAAGCAATGAGGAGAATTGGAATTTCAGTGTACTTTCTGAGTTGAAATGGAATTTAGCCCAACTGATGTCACACCCATCTCCACCTAATGTTGGAGATATAAAGCTGCTCAACCATGTGTTCTCATACTGATAGTTGCATGTGTAGATAAACTGTGTCCTCAGACTCATGAGTTTCAATTCACTATGCCTGGAGTCTTCTTTAGCCTGTAATACCTTGTAAATATTTGAGCACTCCTTTTTAAACCATGCATTTTAATGGAAGACAGACTGGATGGATGTGAGCCTACATCTGCATTGGTGCAGCAGTGCTCAAAGTGATTCAAACTTGACCCCTGCACCAGACTGCTCTCTAGGTTTTCATTCAGCTAAGGGAATGACGACAAAGTTTAAAATCATTGATTTACTGTATATTTCGTTGTTAGGACCTAGTGATTATTACAGTATACATTATTCATATCTGCTGTGGTAACTGTGGCCCTCTTGTGGACTTCAAACATTGACATATTGAAATGCATGCTCATTAATATACTGTATTTCCTCTGTCCATTTCTCCTGATGACAGAAAATGGTGATTGGCCAGGCTGGTCAGATGGTTGCCAGGATAGCCAGAGAGGCTGGAGATGACCTGAGCACTGTGTTCCTCAGGCAGGTCAAGCTGAGGCTGTCTGTGAAGGTGAAGAACTGACGAGGATTATGATAAACTGAGTATTATGATAATCTGGGGGAACAGTATTATGGTGGCCTAGTGAGTAGGAAATGAACACTGTTGGACTCTATGGATTCTCTGAACACTATTTTCAAGGAGAGATCTGACTGGTTTCTACTGCTTGACTATGGACAGACCTGTAGCTAAACTGTGCTGCTGAGAGCTTGTAAAGACTCATCATGAGTCAGCTAATGTGAGAGCTATCAGAAACAGAGAGACAGCGCTCTCTCCCCTTGAACTTGGTCCCAGCCTCATCTACAGTAATTTCTCTCAAGGGTCAGCATATTGTGTTCTTGCGTAAGCATTCTTCTTAAGTAAAGGATGACTTGCACATATTCGTTTTTCCTTTTAGAGCTTCTCTAACATTTTCTTGTAATTTACATTTTGACCTCTTAATTAAACAGCTATATTTTGGTGTAGAGTGTGTGTGTGGGAGGGGGGGTGGGGGTTGGGCAAGCTGTGAAAAGGTTGCTGGTTTATCTTGTGCTTCAAGAAGCTTCTCCTTGGCAGTAGACCTTTGCTAGCCTGGCCTGCTGATAATTGAACTGGGAGTAGCACAGTCATGTTATGTCTGTTGAATGTCCCTGTTGTTCTATCCACCCCCTGCCTCTCTCCGTCTCGCACTCTCTCTCTCAGCTGCCCACAGCATTGCTGTCCCCTCAAGCCTCCATTTCAATCACTCTTTCCTTTGTCTCTCTCATAGCAAAACACAGCCCCTGATAATTGAATTGACAACTCTTTAATGGAAGGCAAAATGGAGCGCTAACCTGCTTGTAAAATGGGTCAGATAGTGATTAGGTTAATTTCTCCCCCTCCCTGTGAGTTTGCTCGGTGCTTCTTTCACTATCCAGGCTATTTTGATGAATAACAAGTGTGTGCCCTCTGTGGCCTAAAGCAAGGGCAAAGAGCGAGAAAGAGGAAAGGCTGGAGTGTCTCAATGAAGAGATGGTGAGAGAGGGCTGTGATGTCTGTTTACTGTGTACAGAAACAGCTGCTCTCCATTGATTACTGACATTTACACTGCTAACAACTTGTGTAGAATGCTAGATGTGATCTCTGATTAGACAAACCAACTGCTTTTAAAAAGCTGTACACTATATATGAAATTATAAATAAAAGTATACATTCATACAATTTGATGTGTAACCTGCCAATGCATTAAGGTGGTAACCTTGGTACAGTATTCCACCTTTAGACTAAGATGTACACCCAGACATTGATAGTCATTCTTTGGTTTTGAATTTTAAACTTTATTTCACACATCAACAAACACCTTACAATGTAAAATATCCAAATCAGTTCTTATACACAACTTTGGTTCTTGGTATTACTAATTTGTTGTAAACAAATGCTCCTTGTTGCAAGGAAGAAAAGACCAGTCCACCAGTTTTTAGTTTCCTTTATCGCAACTCCAGATGACATTGAGAAGCAGCAATAGAACCCTTACCATTGCTAAAATTCAGTAATGGTAACGGTTTGATCGCCACCCTCTAGCTTCCAACCACGTCTGTTCATCCGTTCGTGTGTGTACTATTGTAGCTATTACATTGAGAGGTGTCAATATAACCCTTACCATTGCTAAAACTCAGTAATGGTAACGGTTTGATCGCCACCCTCTAGCTTCCAACCGCCAGCAGCGTCTGTCCATCCGGTCGTGTGTACTAATGTAGCTATTACATTGAGAGGCGTCAATAGAACCCTTACCATTGCTAAAACTCAGTAATGGTAACGGTTTGATCGCCACCCTCTAGCTTCCAACCATCAACGGTGTGTGTGCTGATAGTGGCTAGAAGGGGGAATGAGACCCTGGATAGTACATCATCTATACTGTAGTGTCACCATAACGAACTTACAGTATATGATGATATCCTGTCCAGGGTACAAGACCAACAAACAATGAATGTCCCATGATCACTTCACCTAAATGAATAAACCTGTTGGAAAAAGAGAATGGATATTACATATTAAATACACACAAACCAATGTAGAGAAACAGGTTTGAGTCAATATGTTGTTAATGTGTTAACATTGAGAAGTCAACTACCCTGGGTATGAATACAATATGCATGCTATATTCCAGGATTATATTTTATTTTCCCAGACATAAAATGCATGTTTGATCCACAGAAATGTCTGATGTCCAGATATTTAAATCAATTTCTAAATCAAATATTTTCGAGAAGTCCTATTACAAGACCAACCAAGTGCAGGTCCCACATTGCATTATATCAATAGTGTTTACATGTGTTCCCTTGATGAAATTGCTTGTGGTTAACTAAAAGAAACCCCTTGCAGAGCATCTTAATAGAGGACCTTCTCTAAACATCAGCTCTCTCCCCTAATTATCCACCTTCAAATGAAGCCCAACTGACAGTGTCACATGTTTAGTGACTTGGTTAGGTGATCAAAAACGGCTGTAAATATCACAGAATGGGCCTTTAAGTGCTCACCTCCACGTCTGTTCTGTGTGCGTTGTCCTCCGTCTCCTCTTGAAGAACAAAGTGTTAATTAAGGGTGTTGATGGTGCTCTTAACACGCAGCTCTGCTTTACAACCACCAGCACGTCTCCAACACCTCCAGGTTGTTCACAGACCCCTGACAGCTCGCAAAGGTCTCCTTTAAGGCCACCAGCTCATTTGCATATGATGATGACATCAGAGCTGTGGTCCCCTTATCTATCATGTTCTGGGTCTGGTCCAGTTTGCCTCCGTCCAATGACATGCCCCCACCCTTTCTAATCAGACCCCAAACAGTTTTGCAACATCTGGTGTTTGACATCTCGCCTCGACGCCCCTCCATGCCCCCATACAAAGCAAGTTTTTTGGCAAAGAGATACTAGGACACGATATGTCCTTATTTTGGCATGTTTATTTGACCTACACTATATACAGTGCATTCGGAAAGTATTCAGACCCCTTGACTTTTTCCACATTTTGTTACGTTACAGCCTTATTCTAAAATGGATGAAATTGTTTTTTCCCCTTATCAATCTACAAATTTGTATTACAAATTAAAAATGTAAATATCACATTTACATAAGTATTCAGACCCTTTACTAAGTACTTTGTTGAAGCACCTTTGGCAGTGATTACAGCCTTGAGTCTTCTTGGGTGTGACGCTACAAGCTTGGCACACCTGTATTTGGGGAGTTTCTCCCATTCTTCTCTGCAGATCCTTTCAAGTTCTGTCAGGTTGGATGGGGAGCGTCGCTGCACAGCTATTTTCAGGTCTATCCAGAGATGTTGGATCAGAGACTTGTCCCCAAGCCACTCCTGCGTTGTCTGTGTGCTTAGGGTCGTGTGTGCTTAGGGTCGTTGTCCTGTTGGAAGGTGAACCTTCACCCCAGTCTGAGGTCCTGAGTGCTCTGGAGCAGGTTATCATCAAGGATCTCTGTACTTTACTCTGTTCATCTTTCCCTCGATCCTGACTAGTCTTCCAGTCCATGCCGCTGAAAAACATCCCCACAGCATGATGCTGCCACCACCATGCTTCACCATAGGGATGGTGGCAGGTGTCCTCCAGACATGATGCTTGGCATTCAGGCCAAAGAGTTCCATTTTGGTTTCATCAGACCAGAGAATCTTGTTTCTCATGGTCTGAGAGTCCTTTAGGTGCCTTTTGGCAAACTCCAAGCGGTCTGTCGTGCCTTTTACTGAGGAGTGGCTTCCGTCTGGCCACTCTAACATAAAGACCTGATTGGTGGAGTGTTGCAGAGATGGTGTGTCCTTCTGGAAGGTTCTCCCATCTCCACAGAGAACTCTGGAGTTCTGTCAGCGTGACCATTGGGTTCTTGGTCACCTCCCTGACAAAGGCCCTTCTCCCCCGATTGCTCAGTTTAGCCGGATGGCCAGCTCTAGGAAGAGTCTTGGAGGTTCCAAACTTCTTCCATTTAAGAGTGATGGAGGCCACTGTCTTCTTGGGGACCTTCAATGCTGCAGACATTTTTTGGTACCCTTCCCCAGATCTGTGCCTCGACACAATCCTGTCTCGGAGCTCTACAGACAATTCCTTCGACCTCATGGTTTGGTTTTTACTCTGACATGCACTGTCAACTGTGGGACCTTATATAGACAGGTGTGTGCCTTTCCAAATCATGTGCAATCAATAGAATTTACCACAGGTGGACTCCAATCAAGTTGTAGAAACATCTCAAGGATGATGAATGGAAACAGGATGCACCTGAGCTCAATTTCAAGTCTCATAGCAAAGGGTCTGAATACTTATGTAAATAAAATTGATAAAAACATGTTTTCGCTTTGTCATTATGGGGTATTGTGTGTAGATTGAGGGAAATGTTTTATTTAATCCATTTTAGAATAAGGCTGTAATGTAACAAAATGTGGAAAAAGGGAAGGGGTTTGAATACTTTCCGAATACACTGTATACACACACATGTATGTGGATACCCCTTCAAATTTGTGGATTCTGATATTTCAGCCACACTTGTTGCTGACAGGTGTATAAAATCGAGCACACAGCCATGCAACCTCCATAGACAAACATTGGCAGTAGAATGGCCTTACTAAAGAGCTCAGTGACTTTCAACGTGGCACCGTCATAGGATGCCGCCTTTCCAACAAGTCAGTAAGTAAAATTTCTGTCCTGGTCAACTGTAAGTGCTGTTATTGTGAATTGGAAACGTCTAGGAACAACAACGGCTCACCGAGAAGTGGTAGGCCACACAAGCTCACAGAACTGGACCGCCGAAGTGCGTAAAAATAGTCTGTCCTCAGTTGCAACACTCACTACCGAGTTCCAAACTGCCTCTGGAAGCAACGTCAGCACAAGAACCTTTTGGTCGGGAGCTTAATGAAATAGGTTTCCATGGCCGAGCAGCCGCACACAAGCCTAAGATCACCATGCGCAATGCCAAGCGTCGGCTGGAGTGGTGTTAAGCTTGCTGCCATTGGACTCTGGAGCAGTAGAAACGTGTTCTCTGGAGTGATGAATCACACTTCACCATCTGGCAGTCCGACAGATAAATCTGGGTTTGGCGGATGCCAGGAGAACGCTACCTGCCCCAATGCATAGTCCCAACTGTAAAGTTTGGTGGAGGAGGAATAATGATCTGGGGCTGTTTTTCATGGTTCGGGCTTGGCCCCTTAGTTCCAGTGAAGGTAAATCTTAACGTATACAATGACATTCTAGACGATTCTGTGCTTCCAACTTTGTGGCAACAGTTTGGGGAAGGCCCTTTCCTGTTTCAGCATGACAATGCCCCCTTACACAAAGCGAGGTCCATACAGAAATGGTTTGTCGAGATCGGTGTGGAAGAACTTGACTGGCCTGCACAGAGCCATGACCTCAACCCCATCAAACACCTTCGGGATGAATCGGAACGCCGACTGCGAGCCAGGCCTAATCGCCCAACATCAGTGCCCGACCTCACTAATGCTCGTGGCTGAATGGAAGCAAGTCCCCGCAGCAATGTTACAACATCTAGTGGAAAGCCTTCCCAGAAGAGTGGAGGCTGTTATAGCACCAAAGGGGGGGACCAACTCCATATTAATGCCCATGACTTTGGAATGAGATGTTTGACGAACAGGTGTCCACATACTTTTGGTAATGTGTATCTTTCCAGCTTTGCATTTTAAGACGTGTTTTGTTTTACATCTTGTCTAAGTCTCTTTTATCAACATTCAAACTCACCCAAGCAAACATTGTTCAAACATGACCTCAACTTAACTGGTTATTGAAGTAACTGAATAATTTAACATGATGACTTTAAGAGAACCACCTAAGAAACAGCCAACTGAAATGATTCCTCTTGAAACATTCAAAGATTTGTTGCAACAACATATCCTTCTGTACAGTTCTTCCCCACCACACATACTTTATAGATCATGTCATGGCAATGCAATCAATTGTGACTTAGATCTTGACTACAAAGGAAAGGGTACCCAAGCATCAGCAGCTCATTTCAACTGAATATGATGCAATGACTTCTTGATGTAGATGTTAGTGATTTGAATCATCTACATATCAAATATGACTGCAACCATCTTCCAGGAGCTTTCATTGTGGGTGGCATTATATTATATGGCACCATATTTGTATAATATTTCAACAAAATTAAATGTATGGATGATGCACGTGGGAGGTATCAGGTGACACGGTTTAGGGTGAGGGCAGGGTGAGGGTGACAACTTAGCCCAGTCACCGCAGAGACTGACTCCCCAGTTTGGGCGCGGACCAGTGGGGTTTGATTGGTCGGGTTGAGCCTCAAGATAAAGATGTTAGCAGGCCTATCTGGGCGGCACCAGACTATCAGCTAGGGAAATAGATTTCTGTGAATTTTACATCACATTCAAAGAAATTCATTTCTGTGGCCAGCCAGACATGAAAGAGCAGGAGGACATGCATTTATTTGAGTGCTGAATGATAGAAAAATTGTAGTAATACACATTGCTTTACTCTGTAAGGATTGTTTCACATTTCACATGCGATAAGTGACATTACATTAGCCCAAATTAGCTATTAATATATTGAATAATCAGATGCAAGTTTTAGAAAAAGAAAAAATGACCTAAAATATTCCCAAAACAAACGGATCATGCAGGTCTCTTGGGTAATAAGCCTGATGCAGTGAATTACAATTTTGTGGTGTAGTAAATTGAATGAAAGTAAGTTACTATTTATATACATTTATAGAACTGTTCTGTAATGTTCTGTTTTACCTCTGCATAACATGAGTCTCCAGTCCATACAGGTTCATTGAAGGCCCTGTATCTTCTTATGCTAGGATAAGATATTTGTAAGCTCTATGAAATGTGTATTTAATATGTACAATGACATATCCATTCCTAATGATCATTTGATGTGTGTGTCGGGGAAGCTACTCTGAAAAGATAGTTTACCAAGCTACCAATTACTTCACACGGAAAGAAGTTAAGTAAACTATATTTTTCTCAATGGTAGCTTATTTAAAAAGGTACTTTGAAAAAGTATACTGAACAAAAATATGAACGCAACATGCAAAACATTGTATGATTTTACTGAGTTACAGTTCATATAAGGAAATCTGTCAATTGAAATAAATAAATTAGGCCCTTGTCTATGGATTTCACATCACTGGGCCCACCCAATCAGAATGAGTTTTTCCCCACAAATGGACTTTATTACAGACAGGAGGCCTCTACTGAGTGCGCACGATGTCACTCTAAACCAGCGGTAGGCAACTAGATTCAGCTTTCTTTTTTTCGGTGAGGATGGTCAGGAACGTAATTTGTACACTTCAAATTTACCACAACTAAACCCAATAAGAAATTATTTTCAATTACAATAATTTCATACTGTGTATATACCTTTCATATATACACACAATTAGTTTTCGGGGGGGCCCCCCCAAAAAAAGAAACACTTGCGGGCTGGTTTTGGCCTGCAGGCCGCCTGTTGCCGACCCCTGCTCTAACACATCTCTACATCTCTTGTAAAGTGGTTATCCCACTGGCTATAGGGTGAACGCACCAATTTGTGAGTCGCTCTGGCTAAGAGCGTCTGCTAAATGACGTTAATGTGCCCTTGAGCAAGGCACTTAACCCTAATTGCTCCTGTAAGTCGCTCTGGTTAAGAGCGTCTGCTAAATGACTAAAATGTAAATGTAAATGTACATTGACACTCCCTTGCCTTCTGTCCTTTTAATAAAAGGAGCCGGGACCAGCTTCCTGTTATAATGGCAGGCGAAACTGCCCAGGTGATTAGCACAGTAGCGGTGCGTGGCTAAAATCTATTACAACCTATGTGTTGTGATAATTGCGTTGTTTGCTCTATAACCTGTTAATTCATATGCCTTGCGACCGTGATATATAGGCCTAAAGGCCGAGACAATAAGACAGTGGCAGAATAAATTCAACCACACCTTTGTTTTATCACAAAACCGCATAGCAACTTCTGTCCAGTGAAGTCCACAGAGCATATTGCATGTACAGTAACAGAAAGTTACATGACCTACAGCATGGTCAAGCAAGTTAATGTTTGCGAAATTTTCGGACCACTAAACTATTGATTTAGAACCACAGAGAGTTACCGCAAGTCGCAAAGAAAACAGGAGCTGCCTCCACTATTCCAGCACCATTTCAACTTCAACATCATCTAATCACCTATGCTTAGTCTAATACAGTGACAACTAAAAGATACCAAAAACAATTTACTCCAATCAACGTAAGCTAAATATGATGTGGATGTCCATGTTTCTGATTTCTGTGTGTGTGCAAGTAGAAAAACATGTTGACTCACTTTACTTGCAGAGAAAGACCAATGCCATCGTCCTCTCTTTCATGTTGACAAAACGGTCTATCACTCTGTCATACAGTACACGCTTTTATTTTTGTTGTCCTAGGCTACCTGGCTAAAATGCTTGCTTGCTAGCTTAACTTCCATTCATGGACAACGTTCGCTAGTTAACATTTGCCTTTTATATCTAGCTACATATTGAACTTCCATCCTCTCAGGCCAGGGGCACAACAATGTATGAATTAATGGTTGGATCAGTATCGCCGTTATAATCATTGGCCAGTACGGAGAATTAAGTAAAACCAGAAGTCCAAATCTCTATCTCCATCCATGGCTAATTTAGGAAGGGGTCAATTTTAGCTAGCTGGCTAGCTAGCCACCGGAGGACAACAACACAATGAGATGCAAAAATTCTAAAAATTCACGTTCTGTCAATGATGTATTCTCTCAATAGGATTTGATAGGAGTGATGCCAAATCCAAGCTGGCTTCCCTTGACACTTTTTTTTGGTGCGCCAGGACCATTCACAGTTGAGCTCGCTCAGTTTAGCTCAATGCTGACTGGCAAATGTTTTATACTTTTTTTGTCAAGGAGGCCAGATGCCTGCTGGCTTCTCTTGCGTTCAATGCTACGGGCGGCAACAATGTCATACTCGTTTTGACCAGACAGCATCAGATAGATGGCCTACATGTAGAGAGACAGAGGGGGCGCTGTTTCGCTCGGATGCGATCTCCTTTGAGATAAATTCAGTATCTTGCGAATTGAAGGAAAATTATGAAACACAGAGACGAAAGATAAATAATTGATTATATTTTTTGGTCCATTTTTTGGGGAAGCCTGGCTTCCCTTGGCATCCATGAATAAACACCACTGGATTAGGGCCTGGGAGTTGGTGGTTTTGAAGTTGGGGAACCCAAATCTCACTTCCTATACTGAACACATCCTTCCCCCGCCCTGCTCCCCTCTTTTCACACAACAATATTTAGGCAACTCTAAACTGTGAAAGATCAATGTGGTGTTCCGATTGTTGTCCCAACACCTCACACACCTCTGTCTTGTCTTCCATATGGGAGGGAAAAGTATAGGGGATCGCTGCCCGGATCAGATCTCAAGTGCAGATCACTGAACTCAGTATGAATTTGGAGTAAATCAGAGTAGGATAACAACAAGAGCACTCACTGACTGGCGCTCCAAGGTCATGTATCTGAATGAGAGGCCGCTGTGTGGTGACTACCCATACCCACTCAACTCTCAGCCCAAGAACTACGGCTATTGTCCACCAGGTAGGTTTGTGTTTCATGGATAGACATTGACAACATGACCAAATGTTATTGGATATGTTGCATGATAGTGTTCAAGTAGTCCTAATTGAGCCTTCCAATACAGTTATTGCTCTTTTCCTATTGAGAGGGGTATAATTAGCATATGCAGTCTATTGTCATAGGTCTGTGGAAAGAAGCTATAACCAAATAGGCTAAACGTATCCTGAATGACGCAAATAAATACCTTGTACTAGATTGGAAAGATGCGGTTCGGCGAGGCAGTTATTGGGACGCCGGCGGTAAAATCGGGGGTGAAACCAAGCTTTCAACTCTTCAAGTCCGGGTGTCGCTCCAGGGTCGCGAGCTATGGGAACAGTTTGGAGATATAGGAACAGAGATGCTTATCACCAAAACAGGAAGGTAGGATGTGTGGATGGATGATAAATAGCTACCGGTAGCCATTTATAATAATCCCTTGTCCTATCTGTGTCATTTTGTGGGAAAATAAAGGCTTTTTAAGAGTTATGCTGTGTTGGGAGTTTATTAGAGAAATTATATGTTTCTTTCGTAATGAGAATTTACCATTATAATTTCAAGGACAAGTTGTATCGGCTATCCTGCCGCTCTATGTGATTGAATAAGCGATTGAGGCGACCTGTTAGTTCAATCGCGTTCAAATTTACCGCCTGATGTTATAGGCGCATGTTTCCAAACTGCAAAGTCACTGTGACAGGGTTAAATTCTCTGGCAAAGTACATGCTGATAATGGACATGGTCCTGTCTAATGAAAACAAATACAAGGTAGGCCTACCTCACATACCCCTCCCAGCATTACTGTTTATTTCTATTTTGTTATCTATTGGCTACCATGTTTGACAAACAGTTGCAGGGTAGTGATTGTGTTTATAGAGCTTGATAAGCTTTTACTAATGTATGCTTGTATAATAACTGCAGAATGTGCTTTTATTACTGTGTTATCCATATGTATTGACACTATACATCTGTCCTGTGCAGTGGAGTAGGGATCGCTGGGTGGTATTACTGAGCCCCACCTTCCCAACTGCTTCTTCATCCACCCAAACTCAGCCTCCCTGGGGGAGAGGTGGATGCAGTGCCCAGTCTCCTTCCACAAGCTCAAGCTCAAACTCACCAACACCCTCAACTCCAAAGGCCTGGTAAGGCTTGGCATGGAAGACCCTGGCACTATCTGTGACACTAAAAGTGCCATGTCACCATGATACTGTTGCAATAGATGATAACCACTGAATGTTAAGTTTGGTGATACAATACAGTAATACATGCTTTGTTTTCATATCAGATACCTCTGTAAATACATCAGATACTGCTGCAGATATGAGGATATCACCATGTAGGTTGAGATGGAGAGTATGTGTTGGCAGGCATACTTGTTTTGGCAGGTTGCCTAGTTTGAATGCAGTGGGTGAGGTAGGAGGTGATACAGGTGCAGGTGTCCCAGTTAGAGGACAAGGACCTGCACCTGTATCACCTCCTACCTAACCACTGCATTCAAACTAGGCATCCTGCCAACACATACTCTCCATCTCAACCTACATGGCATTGTGTTCTAAAAATAAACTGAACATATTTGCATCAGCATATTTTACATCATAAACAGCATTACTTGTCACATTCCAGCACAATCTCAGAGCCAGTAGTCAAATCATAATTAAAACTCTCCAAAGCATTTACAAATTAATTAATTTCAAGGTATAAATTAGAACCTTCCAATATGCAAACATTCCTATCAATATGCGATAACAACTCAACATTCTACCTAATAAACAACAGTGAGTCTTTAAACGTACATTTACATTTAGCAGATGCTCCAGAGCGACTTACAGTTAGTGCATACATTATTCTTTTTAATTTTCATACCCCATGGGAATCGAACCCACAACCCTGGCGTTGCAAACGCCATGCTCTACCAAATGAGCTACCTCCCTGCCGGCCATTCCCTCCCCTACCCTGGACGACGCTGGGCCAATTGTGCGCCGCCCCATTGGTCTCCCGGTTGCGGCCGGATTCGAACCAGGATCTCTAGTGGCACAGCTAGCACTGCGATGCAGTGCCTTAGACCACTGCGCCACTCGGGAGTCAATTGAAACATGGAAAGAAAGTAAAATCTAAACAAAATTGCAGGTTACTTATGTTTGGGTAATGTGATGCACAGATAATAGAATAAAGGAATGATTGCTGGAGAGGTTTGTACTACTGCCTTTTCTACAATACTAGCACAGGAGGTTGGTGGCACCTTAATTGGGGAGGACGGGCTCATGGTAATGGCTGGAGCGGAATCAGTGGAATGGTATCAAATACATCAAACACATGGTTTCTGTGTTTGATGCCATTCCATTTGCTCCGTTCCAGCCATTATTATGAGCCGTTCTCCCCTCAGCAGCCTCCACTGAATACTAGTAACAGGTATCATATGTTTTGCAGGTGATTCTCCACTCCATGCATAAGTACCAGTCCCGCCTGCATATTGTCCAGTCTCCAGACCCCCACAACCCTCTGTCAGGGGACTACCTGTGCTTCACCTTCCCTGAGGCAACCTTCATAGCTGTCACTGCCTACCAGAACTCAGAGGTAAGGCCAGGACACCTTTAGGATCTCACAGGAGATACTGGAACAACTGTATTCTGATTGTGTTGATTAGAGTGCCCTCTGGAGGGTGAATATGGACAGTGCACGTAAAGTCTGGGATGTCAAATGCTGCTGCTACAAGAGAGCATAATAAGAGATGTGTAATACTATAATTAATGAGGCGTGCTAATTTACCCAACAGATAACAAAACTCAAGATAGGCAACAACCCCTTTGCAAAAGGCTTTCGTGACAGTGGGCTGAACAGAAAAAGGTGAGAGACCTTCAGATAGCCTTCTAGTAGCTTGAAACATGAACGGCAACTCTCACTTGAAAGTGATGCAATACTCCTCCCAGTATGACTCAGAATAACATTATCATATTTGTTGGTCAGTCATCTATTCCCCAATATGTTCCTCTTGGTAAACCTGTTAGCGCAGTGGGAAATATGATGATTATGCAGAATTGGAATGGTACTTAGTTGACTCACTGATCAATTAAGTGCCATGTTCTTTTACTCTTTACTGGTACACATCACTATCATGTTACTAAGAAACGGTGAATAATGTGAATTCTTTCTTTCTGTAGGTTCAGAGAAAAGGAAGGTCAGAGCTCTGACAAACTAAATGAAAGACAACGCCAGATGGAATCAAAACCTTCAAATGATAGTCACAAAAGGCCTACAGAATTGTTAATGTTTGAAACATCTGTAAGGGAAATTGTAAACACTACACCTAATTTCTAAATAAGGGATTTCTATTTTATACAATGAAAAGTCTAGCCATGATAGTCAAGCCAGCTGTCTATTGAGCTTGCCAAACATGGAAAAGAAAACTGCTCAAGAAAATAGCCAGCAGGTGTCATTAATTCCTCGAGACAATCCAAAGACTAGTAGGCTATCTACAGTACGTAGTCATTATTCTATACCGGTCCTCTAAAGTAAATATTATATCATTTTAAAGAGTTGGTCAAAGTGAAAGGTAAAGGAATCTCCATGAATCTTCTCTGTTCTAGCATTCTGGGCCTGTATTCATAAAGTCAAATCCAAATCAAATTGTATTTGTCACATGCACTGAATACAACAGGTGAAAATGCTTACCGTGAAATGCTTACGAGCCCTTAACCAACAATGCAGAGTTTTTAAAAAGTAAGTAAGAAAAATGTGCTAAATAAACTGAGTTGGAGTACTGATCTAGGATCAGTTTGCCTTTTAGATAACGATGAATACGATTACATAGATCCTAGATCAATACTCCTTCTCTGAGACACTTTATGAATACGGGCCCTCTTCTGTCCTGTCCTTAATTGTCTCAGTACGATCCAGACCAGTGGAGTCAGATGATGAGGCTGACGTTACCGTCTCCAGCTCTAGCTCATTGGATTCCCATGGTGCAGCAGGATACAGGACTGATGACATCACGTCTCTCTCTGCTGCTCCTAACCCCATCATCTCTGCCTTCATGAACTGGGGGGCTGCAATTGCCCTGCCCTGTGGCCAGGAGTGATGGGGGGGGGGGGGTCAAGGACCCACAACACAACAGTAGGATGATGAAGATTGTTAGTTTCAGAAACTGTCAATTTATTTCTATCTTAAAAGTGTATTACATCAAATCAGCAGCTATTCATTGTGAACGAGAATCATAAGTATTCTTCTTATCAGTCCAGTATTTCTATAGGATGTTGATTTGTTAATGATTATGATAATCTCAAATTTGTATTTATGATAAATAAACTAGGCTAATAATCTGAAAGTGTACTCTGTTGTTCTATTTCAGCCCTGGGCAGCATAAGGAGGCCAGGCATACTTGTTTACCAAACGTTGCCTCTCCTCTCTTCCTCCCACACCTTCCATTGGGCCAGACTCACCACCCAGGGTCTGTTGGCTTCAGGAGGCCCCCGGCACAGAGCAGCAGACCAGTGGGGCCTCACCCACCTCACCACAGAGGACCTGGCGGTCCAGCACCTCACCTCTCCCACAGCAGACCACCACCAGGCCCACCAGAAATAGCCCCAGCAGGCTGAGTTCGACTACCCCCTACCCCTGACCCCCAAGCTCAGCAGGATGCACCTCCCTGAGAGCGCCCTGCGTAGCCTGGAGATCAGCCCATCCTCTCTCGGTGTCCGGCAGCTCCCAGCCCCTCACTGACGTCCTCAACAGGATCCACTGCAGGGCAGGGTCTGGGATCCACTCAGGAAGCTGCTCCAGCCCCAGGCCCAGTATGAGAAGCCAGGCCTGGGGCTGGACAGGGAGCTCCGGCCACCACAGCCTTACCCACCACTACCTGACCATGGGCCAGAGTACATGCCACTCCACAGCATGATGCTCTACCACCATAACAGCTTGATGGACTCTGTGGGGCCACTAAGAGATAGCCATGTGGACGCTAAAGTCCCCTCCTCCTCATCTCTAGAATACCCCTATAAGGCACCTATGCTTGACTTGTATTTTGATTAACAGAGTAACAAGTAAAGCGATTTCTTGTTCAGTAAACACAACAGGTCAGGTAGACATTCACATTTTGCCCCACCACTTGGCGACCTCTAAGTAGAGTTGAGACAAATGAATGCAATAGAGTCATTCCAAGCTAACTGTATAGCACATTTCTCTTTGCTATGTTAGACGTTGTTTAAAATGTACATATTTTTAAGTTGTAGGATAGGCAAGTGGTTTGCTAGGATAAGGAACTGGGGATTCTTTTGCCCTGACATTTGATTTGTATAATTAGTAAGGGGAACTAATAATATATCCATCATGTCAGAACTAGAACTCAGTATGTCACTATTTAACATGTTCTCCCTTTCTCTGGACATCGTAAATAAAAGTAAATCATGTGAGATTTTGTGTGAGATGTACCTGTATATGCAGAAGAACAGTGGCTTATCAAACATAGAAAATGATATTTAGACTCCTGATGTTAACTGATAACATTAGCCCCATCCGATAGTGTCTATCGTTGTCATGCCAGAAGAGTTGGCTACACCTGCTACAGTACATAACAGTATGGGACGAGGATAATGTTACAGGCCACTTGTAATAGATTCTCTGAAAGAATACTGAGGAAACTATGAGGTGGCAGACATTTTTTTACAGGGAAGCACATAATAATACTTTGCCACAGAGTGACTCGAGGATATGAGTGTGATGTTCACATGATGAAATATCCATGCTGGACCAGTTTTCCAGTATTATGTAACAGTCTAGAAAATGGACGAATTCACACAAACACATTTATTGAGTCTGAATAGATACATTTCAATAATGGGTGATCAATTTAAAATGTTTCATTATAGATACTCTATAGATAAAGATACATGTTAAAGGCATACAATGTTTGGTCTTCCAACTACATTCTAGATCCGAAAGGTAGATTTTCTGATCTGAAAACTGCTTCTACCTTGCTGAAATTACACCATCATTCATAGTAATACATGCAACATTCTTGAAAGAGCGTTGACACAAAAATTAGGTGCCAAAAAATTACATATAATGTGTGTTTTTCAGCTGAACAAAAACACAATTTGACCAGGGAAAGACATCAGTATGTCCAGATAGTACACTTCAACATTTCCGACCTTATACAATTCAAACCAGCCATTTCATGAAACAGAATACAGGTTCCTTTCTACATTTACAGTACTGTATCACACCGTTTATCACTCACATTTTACGGTCTGGTCTACTATGTAAATCTTACAAGAGGAGATTATAATAAAACAAATAAAGTATTATTTTGGTGATCAGTAGGAATTAGATAATGACATTTCTCCCCCAGACCAGAGATATACCACCGTTGGCAGTGGGTTAACGTTACTGTAAAAAAAAATCCATATTTGAAAATATTATGCCATACTTGAGGTCAATGGTTAAGAAAGAGGTTAGATTTCCCCTAAAACGCTAAAATGTATTTTCATAAAATGAAGCCAACCTAAAATGAACTCCACAACAAGACAGTCCAACTCAAATGTGTGGCGAAACAAACTGAAATGTATTATTGTGTTTAAAGCACATTGGGTAAGGAATGTGGAGAAAACGGATAGATTATTGGATGGTCAACAGGTCGTGGCAGCATTGCATTCCTAGAAAAAAAGTAAGCACCACCCTGTACAATCCTGAAAGTAAAGAGTCTGGTAAACTGTAGAGATAAATCCTTTATAAACTAATATGTAACTTAACAGAATGTAACCATAAGATGATATAACACAACATTGGCTAACCTAAGAGACTGAAATGCATATCACGTCATATGATGTCTCAATAGTTGGAAAGAACAAGTATTAAAGCTTAGATTGATTGAGGTAATCCAGATGATCAGGAAAGCTAGCAGGACTCCTGGGTCTCTATATTAAGGCTAACTTTGACAGTATATGGCTTCATACAGACTTGTAGATCCATGTACATGTGTTAATGTCTATGTTTTCTTTGTCTTGTATGTCTTGTCTACCTAAAAATGCACACCTCTCCCATTCCTAAGATGAAGAATGAAATGAAAGATTCTAGTGAAGAATAAGATAGAATGCCAATGTTTCTGCTCTCAAGGCAGATGACATGAGGATGGGATAGGACAATATTTCCACAGCTCTCATTGAGATGGTGGATGGAGGTTCACCATAGTATCACTACACTATAGAATTGCCAAACCATTACTTTTCCTGAGGTTTGGCCACTTGGATCGTAAACAGGCACAGACTACACATTAGAATGAAAAAAGTTCAATTTGAGACAAAATATCTGAAATACTTTCAGTAACTATACAAAACCATGGGCACATCCAAAGCACTATGTAACACAACAAACAAAATAATAACAATGAAGACAAGGTGAAGACCTGGCAAACATTTCAGACCAGAACAAGGCCTGCACTGAACAATCATGATGAATGTCCCTTTTCTACAATGTAGACAAGTGTTAGTACAACAGAATGGGGTAACTACTTAAAAAAAAAAAAAAAGTACAACAAAAAAGCAGTAGTACATACAGCTGATCTGGCCCTATAGAGCTAAGGCACCAGGGGTTTAGGAAAATGAAAACAGCTTGACTCTTTTGTAGTAAAAAAGAAAAGAAAAAAGAAACTACTTGTTTTCTAGAGTTTGTAGGTGAAGGCAGTTGATTTAAAGAGTGCATAAAGAAATGTATCGAGTTAAGGTGTACAGGATTGTTTTCATGCTTGAGGGTTGATCATCTTTTGAAGCAAAGGGATCTGTGAGATGATAAGAGAGAGACTGGGTTAGCTGCAGGCTTCACTGGAACAATGGCGACAAACAACAATAGTTAGCCCATTGCCATTGCCTGGATATCTGCACATAACTCTGTACTAAATGGCACCCAATTCCCTATTTAGAGCACTACTTTTGACCACAGCCCACTGCAAAAGTAGTGCACTACATAGGGAGGTATTTGAGACGCAGCCACAGAGAGTGACAGTCAGACTCAGTTTAGTCAAAGATTAAACATGGTGGGGATCTGTAGGGAGTATGTTCTGGAATGACTGCAATTCCACTTGGACTTCACAGCAACATTTTATTTCTATGGTGTACAAATGTGCAAATGTTTATGCATACTATAGATTCAGCGTTATAAACATAGCTAACGAATGCTCGATTTATGGAATGTGTTCACACCTGCAGTGCTTGTGAGTATGGGCTCTCTCTCTCCATTCTACTGAACCCCTTCCCCCTCTCTCACCTTCATCAGGTCCACCCCTGTGAGTGCGTTGACGGACACAGGGAGCTCAGCCAATAGGCGGTTCACCTCGCCGGTCACACGGCCACCGTCCCCGCTCAGGATGACGATCTCATTGGTCCGGGCCAGGGGTGCCGCCACCTTGGCAGCGATCTGTACCAACACAATGACACAAACCTTCTTCACCTGGGTGTTCTTCAGAGAGAACTCATCTAACACAGCCTCTAGTTGTCATGTTTAAACCAAATAAAATGGTAAGTTGCAATAAAAAAAAAATAACATTGATATATTGTAGACACAAACTATATCAAATGCTTGTGTGCAGCTCTGTGACAACTTCTCCTTACCACACAACGTTAAATGCCCATGTCGTGACACACTGACCTTAGGCAGGGCCTCCAGGACCAGAGCAGTCTTGGCAGCCTCTCCATAATGCTGGTAGGCCTCAGCCTTCAGCCTCATCTTCTCAGCCTCAGCCTTCCCTATAGCCTCTATGGAACCAGCCTCTGCCTCACCGATACGACGGATCTTCTCTGCCTCCGCCTGGGCCGTCAGCACCTTCTTCATTCTGTTCAGGGGTTGGTAGGAGGGCACGTGAAGGGCTAAACTCTAACAACATCATTGGATTGCAGACTGGATTGCATTAAACTACAGCATGACAAGCTTCTACACACCCGAAGCATACAAGTAGCTACTACTGTAAGTGTGAGATGAAGTTGCCCCTAGACACTGATCGGTTTTTGAATTTTGGGTAGGATTTTGAAGAGGCTAAGCTGATCCTAGACCTGTGCCTGAGTGTAACTTACACCCAGTATGCTGCATATGTTGACTTGAAAGGCAGACACTCTAGGCTCAGTGGTGGTTCACTCACTTCCTATAGTATGACACCTTGCTTTGCATCCAGAATTCCAACGAGCATACACATTGTCCTTATTTTCCATGCATTCTGGGAGCGGCTCAGTGATTGGTCACTCACTTCTGTCCCTCGGCCAGCTGCTGCATCTTGTAGGCCTCAGCTTCAGCCGGCCTCTTGACCGTGGCGATGAGCTCCTTTTCCGTGCGGTCAATCTCCTTCTCCTCAATGGTGATCTGCTTCTTCCTCTGAACCACCTCGATCTCTATCTCCTCCAGACGGATCTTCTGCTGCTCCTTGGCAGCCTGCAGCTCGTAGGCCAGCTGGGCCTCTGCTTTCTGGGGGGAGAAGAGGCATAGGTCATATTCACCAATAATTAAATGAAATCAAACGGGCTGAAATGAAAAGGGAATACCTGAACTTGTGCAGGTAGTCCTTTATCCGTTGCAAAACGGTTTGCTTTGGTGTGCACTAATGAATATGACCAGGGTGAATCTCTAATAAGGGGCTTTCACATTAGGCCTAGATTTGACGTCATCGATTAACTGCTAATGGTGAACCGAATCTAGAGCAATGATAGTCCCCTGTAGCTCAGTTGGTAGAGCATGGCGCTTGCAACGCCAGGGTTGTGGGTTCGTTTCCCACGGGGGGCAAGTATGAAAATGTATGCACTCACTAACTGTAAGTCGCTCTGGATAAGAGCGTCTGCTAAATTACTAGGGGTGTAACGATCCATCTATTACATCGATGTATCGATTTATATTCCTATGATCCAACTACATCGATCTGTGCTCGGCGAGTTGGCCTTTTGGACAACATATATCAATCTAACATCGTTTTAAAATGTAATAAATCGATTGTATCGATACTAGGAAATAATCCATTGGATTTAAGCACGTCAGACTTTATATGGATGTTTTTTCTTAGCACTTTTAATGATAAAGGCTTTAAACATTACTCGATTCAGTCTGCCTATCCGTGACGTCATCGCCCCGCGCCAGCAGCAGCGCAAAGGCGCAAAGACAACAAAACATAGCATGGCGGACGACAGAGGAGAAGCCGACGAGCGAGAAATTATCATGCCACCATTGCGGTCCTTACAAGAAACAGGAATCTAGGAAACTTCACCTGCACTGTCCAGTATCCAGGTATTTATTTCAGTCACACTGGTTGAATTTTTGGCTAAAAGGTTACTGAATCGATTTCAAGTCACTGAATCGTTTCGGATCGTATCGTTCTAAATGAACCAATATCGTCCTTGAATCGTATCGACAACCACGAATCGTGATACAAATCGAATCGTTGTTAAAACGAATCGTTACACCCCTATAAATTACTAAAATGTAAAATGATGGCCATGTCTGATACCTTCGTGTTGACTTCTTGATTGAAAGCAGCCTTCTGCATCTCCAACCCTCGTTTCGAATCGGCCATCTTGGTGTCTGCTTGGAACTTGACATCCATCATCTCTTTCTTACATTCTGCTTCCTGTAGAGGGCAGAGACAACAACGTGAGAAGAGGAGGACAGGGAAGATTCAGAGTGAATGCTGCAATGTACTGCAAGCATTCAGGGAATCTAATTTCTTACCCTGATTCCCGCGTCTCTCTCTGCCTCGGCAACTCCGATGTCTGCATCTCTCTGTACTGCAGCGGTCTGACTCTTCCCCAGGGAACTCAGGTACTCCACTTTATCATACACATCCTGACAGGGACAAAACACAGAGGCACTCGATCATTGTGTGGCTAGTGGTGTCACTATAAGAGTGTAAAGCTGTCGTTACACCCCTATAAATTACTAGAACTACAAGAGTGTATAAAGCTGTAATAAGTTGGCATATGTTGTAATAAGAGTGTATAAAGCTGTAATAAGAGTGTTTACATTTCAAAAGGCCAGACCTGTGCCCTAACAGGACCTGACTGTGCCCCTGTCCATTACCTTGATGGTGAAGCTGAGGATCTCGATGCCCATGCGGCCCACATCGGGCGCTGCCACCTCACGCACCAGAGCAGCAAACCTGTCTCTGTCCTGGTAGATCTGCTCTACCGTCAGAGTACCTGGAACACAGACCTGGGGTCAGTATCTGGGTGGGTCACTAACCACAGATGCTCTGATATGGATTCATCTGAATTGGTTATTTCTTTAGATCTGTTACACATTGTTAAAATTGTTAGTATCCTATATCAGAGACTTCAAACTTAAACCAGAGCCTAAGAGTCTGAGTAGTACATTATATGGCATTAAAGCATATTACATTTTATTTCCAGAGAGCTTGCAAAAATGGTTTTAAGTTCTATAGCATGACCTAATAGTAATAAAGTCACAGAGACCCAAAAGTACTGAGCAGCAGCCTGTCTCTGTCAGAAGGTCCCTACCGAGGATAGAACGTAGATGACCCTCCAGGGTCTGCAGAATGACACTCTTAATCTCGATCACAGATTTCCCCAGGAACTGTTCACAGGCATAGCCCAGCAGCTCATTGTCTACCATCACCTTCACCTGGAGCCAGGGTAATAGACAACATTGTCAGCTGTTAGCTAGATAGTTAATACACTAACATCATCTGAGCAACATCATCTGGTTAGCACTTCAGAGACATAACTATGGTGGTTATTCTAAGTCAGGGATGGGCAACTTTAAAATGGAAGCAAACTTACTTTAAAACTGTGGGCCCTCATGATGAGTTCAGATTTTTGTGGCCCCCACCCCCATCAAAGTTGCCCATCCCTGTTTTAAGTGATTCTTGGTTATTTCTTAAAAGTAACTGTCCAGTGGAAATCTCACTTTTAAAAGTTAATAGTCTGTTAACTCATATCCAAATAATGTTATTGACTCATCCTATACGCATGTGGCCAAAGCACAGTGAGATCCTATTGGCACGTTCTAGCATTTATTTGCATATTTCCATTAGGGAACACCTGCTCTGTGAAGTGCACGTATGCAATAACTCAATTCGCCACCGCACTCCTTCTAAACAACTACATTTTTTAAAACTTTGGCAAAGGGTAGTCTACAAAACGCAGACCACTCTGTTACAGATTCTAGTTTTGGAAACTGTATGGAGATCAAAAAGTTTTATCAATGAGAACATTTTGCAGAATCTCGGCAAAAATCCATCTCGCTCCATCTTGTCCCACTGGGTTTCCTCTCATCACCATATTTGGTAGTGAGTGGAAACACTAACCGGATGCGTTACATTTGTAGATCCGGTGAAATATCTGGCTCATTGTTCTATCTGTGATATAATCATGTAACCGACAGTTATGGATGAAGACTATCATGAAAATAAAATAGTCATAACTGTTAAAAACTAATATATATATATATATATATACACACACTGCTCAAAAAAATAAAGGGAACACTTAAACAACACAATGTAACTCCAAGTCAATCACACTTCTGTGAAATCAAACTGTCCACTTAGGAAGCAACACTGATTGACAATACATTTCACATGCTGTTGTGCAAATGGAATAGACAACAGGTGGAAATTATAGGCAATTAGCAAGACACCCCCAATAAAGGACTGGTTTTTCAGGTGGTGACCACAGACCACTTCTCAGTTCCTATGCTTCCTGGCTGATGTTTTGGTCACTTTTGAATGCTGGCGGTGCTTTCACTCTAGTGGTAGCATGAGACGGAGTCTACAACCCACACAAGTGGCTCAGGTAGTGCAGCTCATCCAGGATGGCACATCAATGCGAGCTGTGGCAAGAAGGTTTGCTGTGTCTGTCAGCGTAGTGTCCAGAGCATGGAGGCGCTACCTGGAGACAGGCCAGTACATCAGGAGACGTGGAGGAGGCCGTAGGAGGGCAACAACCCAGCAGCAGGACCGCTACCTCCGCCTTTGTGCAAGGAGGAGCAGGAGGAGCACTGCCAGAGCCCTGCAAAATGACCTCCAGCAGGCCACAAATGTGCATGTGTCTGCTCAAACGGTCAGAAACAGACTCCATGAGGGTGGTATGAGGGCCCGACGTCCACAGGTGGGGGTTGTGCTTACAGCCCAACATCGTGCAGGACGTTTGGCATTTGCCAGAGAACACCAAGATTGGCAAATTCGCCACTGGCGCCCTGTGCTCTTCACAGATGAAAGCAGGTTCACACTGAGCACATGTGACAGACGTGACAGAGTCTGGAGACGCCGTGGAGAACGTTCTGCTGCCTGCAACATCCTCCAGCATGACCGGTTTGGCGGTGGGTCAGTCATGGTGTGGGGTGGCATTTCTTTGGGGGTCGCACAGCCCTTCATGTGCTCGCCAGAGGTAGCCTGACTGCCATTAGGTACCGAGATGAGATCCTCAGACCCCTTGTGAGACCATACGCTGGTGAGGTTGGCCCTGGGTTCCTCCTAATGCCAGACAATGCTAGACCTCATGTGGCTGGAGTGTGTCAGCAGTTCCTGCAAGAGGAAGGCATTGATGCTATGGACTGGCCCGCCCGTTCCCCAGACCTGAATCCAATTGAGCACATCTGGGACATCATGTCTCGCTCCATCCACCAACGCCACGTTGCACCACAGACTGTCCAGGAGTTGGCGGATGCTTTAGTCCAGGTCTGGGAGGAGATCCCTCAGGAGACCATCCGTCACCTCATCAGGAGCATGCCCAGGCGTTGTAGGGAGGTCATACAGGCACGTGGAGCCTCATTTTGACTTGTTTTAAGGACATTACATCAAAGTTGGATCAGCCTGTAGTGTGGTTTTCCACTTTAATTTTGAGGGTGACTCCAAATCCAGACCTCCATGGGTTGATACATTTGATTTCCATTGATACATTTTTGTGATTTTGTTGTCAGCACATTCAACTATGTAAAGAAAAAAGTATTTAATAAGATTATTTCATTCATTCAGATCTAGGATGTGTTATTTTAGTGTTCCCTTAATTTTTTTGAGCAGTATATTATTTATATATATATATATATATATAGCACAGTGAGATCCTATTGGCACGTATATACACACACACATATACACAGTACCAGTCAAAAGTTTGGACACACCTACTCATTCAAGGGTTTTTCTTTATTTTACTATTTTCTACATTGTAGAATAATAGTGAAGACATCAAAACTATGAAATAACACATATGGTTGTAACCAAAAATGTGTTAAACAAATAAAAATTTATTTTACATTTGAGATTCTTCAAAGTAGCCACCCTTTGCCTTGATGACAGCTTTGCATGCTCTTGGCATTCTCTCAACTAGCTTCATGAGGAATACTTTTCCAACAATCTTGAAGGAGTTCCCACATATGCTGAGCACTTGTTGGCTGCTTTTCCTTCACTCTGCCATCAGACTCATCCCAAACCCTCTCAATTGGGTTGAGGTCGGGTGATTGTGAAGGCCAGGTCATCTGATGCAGCACTCCATCACTCTCCTTCTTGGTCAAATAGCCCTTACACAGCCTGGAGGTGTGTTTTTGGTCATTGTCCTGTTGAAAAACAAAATGATAGTCCCACTAACCGCAAACCAGATTGGATGGCGTATCGCTGCAGAATGCTGTGGCAGCCATGCTGGTTAAGTGTGCCTTGAATTCTAAATAAATCACTGACAGTGTCACCAGCAAAGCACCCCCACACCATCACTCCTCCTCCTCCATGCTTCATGGTGGGAACCACACGTGGAGATCATCCATTCACCTACTCGGCGTCTCACAAAGACATGGCGGTTGGAACCAAAAATCTCAAATTTGGACTCATCAGACCAAAGGACAGATATCCACTGTGTTTCTTGGCCCAAGCAAGTCCCTTCTTATTGGTGTCCTTTAGTAGTCGTTTCTTTGCAGCAATTCAACCATGAAGGCCTGAGTCACGCAGTCTCCTCTGAACAGTTGATGTTGAGATGTGTCTGTTACTTGAACTCTGTGAAGCATTTATTTAGGCTGCAATCTGAGGTGCAGTTAACTGTAATGAACTTATCCTCTGCAGCAGAGGTAACTCTGGGTCTTCCTTTCCTGTGGCGGTCCTCATGAGAGCCAGTTTCATCATAGCGCTTGATGGTTTTTGCAACTGCACTTGAAGAAACTTTAAAAGTTCTTGAAATGTTCTGGATTGACTGACCTGAAATGTCTTAAAGTAATGATGGACTGTCGTTTCTCTTTGCTTATTTGAGCTGTTCTTGCCATAATATGGACTTGGTCTTTTACCAAATAGGGCTATCTTCTGTATACCACCCCTACCTTGTCACAACACAACTGATTGGCTCAAACGCATTAAGGAAATAAATTCCACAAATTAACTTTTAACAAGGCACACCTGTTAATTGACATGAATGCCAAGAGTGTGCAAAGCTGTCATCAAGGCAAAGGGTGGCTACTTTGAAGAATCTAAAATATATTTTGATTTGTTTAACACTTTTTTGGTTACTACATGATTCCATATGTGTTATTTCATTGTTTTGATGTCTTCACTATTATTCTACAATGTAGAAAATAGTAAAAATAAAGAAAAACCCTGGAATGAATAGGTGAGTCCAAACTTTTGACTGGTACTGTGTGTGTGTGTGTGTGTGTGTGTGTGTGTGTGTGTGTGTATATATATATATATATATATATATGACATTGGGACTAACAGCTGATTGAAGACGGGACGGCCGGGCATTAATGTGGTTGCGACCGTTTCTGCGATAATATGGACTCTAAACAACGTGATAAAACTTTGTTGCCCCTTGCACAAGTATTTCGCTACACCCGCAATAACATCTGCTAAACACGTGTATGTGACAAATAAAATGTGATTCGATTTGAAACGAGAAAGGTGTTGTAGCAAACGATTAATAGAATGGCCTTGGAACCTCTAACCCAGGCAATTTGACTGGTAAACTCATGGGTACACCAGCAATGGCTGCCTGGTATTGTGGTGCAATAATTTCCATGGTAATGTAGAATGTTCATTCAAATTATGTTAATTCATCACGTTGTTTAGTCCATGTTATCGCAGAAACGGTCGCAACCACATGAATGCCCGGCCATCCCGTCTTCAACCAGCTGTTAGTCCCAATGATGTGGCTCATTTAATGGACTGCATTTTTTGTCATGTCAGTTGAGTTGAATCAACAAATCACAGCACATATTGATGGGCACACTTCCTGCTTTGCTCCTATGGGTACACGCGCAATGGTCACCAGTCCACCCATTATGCCATCATTGACTTGAATGGGGATGGCCATTCTATTCATTCTATGGCAGCAAATGTAGTCAGGAGCGGAGGAAAGGAGAAAATGTTTTTAAAATGTAAATATTTATTTTAAAATGTTTTTTTCTATTTGAACGGTTGTTACAGAAACCGCAGTCATTTGGCTGCTGGACAGTTACTTTAAAATGCCATGTATGCAGATAATACTTAGTTATTTTATTTTACATACTCTGTAGTTCTATTCCTAAACAGCACATCATTATAACCACTCATTTATAAATTCTCCCTACATAGGCCTGCAGGAGTAAAACACAACCCTTCCATATGCGATCCCCTTACCTACCTCCCTACCAATGCATCATGTCGTCCAGGGTCATGTAACATGTTATGATAGTATTACCAAACAGAACCACACCTAAATGACTGGCCTTAGTAAGACAACCCTGCCTTGATGATTACCCTAGATCTCTTACTCTTAGTGACTTATTTTTCTTGCTCTTAGATCAGGCAACAGTTTGCTCTCTTACTCTCCTCAAGGCCAAACTCCACTCAGAAACATCTATTCATACTGAGGACTGGAGTCATTACTCATGTTGTGGGAATGTTGTCCTGCACAAAACACTGATCTGGGGTGAATCTCAAAAGTATTTTCTTCGATTCCTCTCTGCTCGCCTCCTTCTCAAAACATATGAGGACGCGAACATTGGAGGAGAAAATCAGAGTAGAAGATCTCCTCCAATGCTCTTTGCTTCCCTCTGATGTTTTGACAAGGAGGCAAAGAGAGAGGATGTGAGGAATCGAAGGAAAATACTTGATTCCACCCTGGTCTTCATGAGGACTGAGTGAGACAGTCCTGTTATGAAGAGGCTATGTGGGGACATCACTCCCTTATTTTCTTTTCAGGTTTACCAATAAAAACAACAGACGTGCTAAAGTTGAGGATAAACCAAGTCACCAGATGAGATAAGATATCCTCAGATTGGCCCTATTCAACCAATCTTTGAATCAATGGCGGTTGTGTTGTCCGCTGCAGCTGAAAGGAAAGAGAGTGAGCTGGTCCCTGAGGCGAGAGATGTGACTGGACATAGACCCCAATGAGACATGCACTCAGAAATCGGCTGAGAGGAATTACAGTATAATGGGAGGGGAGATGGCAATCATTCCATGATAACACTGATTATAAAACAACCACAGACAGACAGACAGGCATACAGACAACCAATCAACAGGCCACCTGAAAGACAGCAGGGGGAGCTGTGCCAAGGGAAGGTAAGCACAGAGATGAGGACCCGTGCAAATGTGCCCTCCGCTACCCTTACACCTCAACCCCCCCCGCTAACACCACGGTTCCTCCAGCATGCTCTGAAAGGGTGGGCAGAGTACCATGGAAAGCAAAACACAAAGAAAAACCACAAACACATGAAATATGAGCCTGATGATTAGAAATAATACAAATCTGTTTCCTGACTGCAGTGCTTATTGAAACGACCTACTTTCACATTAAGTGGGAAACTACTTTCGTTGTGTTTTAATGTTTTATGTGGGAGGGCCCTTTTATCTGGTTCAAATGGAAGCCGCCCACTTAGGTTGCCAAGAGACAGAACTCACTCTTCCAGTTTCACAAACATGTGAACACCAGTTTAGAGCTCTCAATATTGTAGTAAAAGGTAATATGAGAAATATGAGACATCCTATGGGTGTGTTAAAGGTCAAAGGAAGGTGGGTATATCCACTATCCAAATCTGCACTGAGCCAATCCCATTACTTTGAGCAGGGACAGACTGTAAACTTCAGTTGCCACATAACTCCTGTTACCCTAGAAACCAGGACAGGAGGCTTGTTTAGGCTCATCCAATCAGATAGACCTGATGATGGACCTCATTAGGGAAGTGCAGCGTTAAAGCTTCCTCTTCATCAGTGATAGTTGGCACATTGTAGTCATGCCCACTGGACAGACTATGAAACTAAAAAAAAAGGGAACATCACACAACTTGTACTGGTTTATAAGTAATCTAATTGGTTGTAATAAATTACACATTATATACTAGATTAGTCATAAATAAGACAAACATTTCCAGTGAGAATTAATAAATAAAATCTAAAGTAAATTGCAGGGAAACTTGAACTTGCATACTCACATTGAGTTAACATTTGCTAGTTACATAACTACATTTGAAAACTACTGTTAAATCAGACTTTCACTGCAGATTGACACTAGGGGGGGGTAAACAAAATTAAATGAGGATTTTGGCACAGAGAAAAGGTTACAATACAAAAAGGAAATTAGTGTAAACACAAAGGAATGTAAATGTTAGGATGCAAAAGAAACATGTCAGACTGTATTCAGCTCCCTTGTACCCCTTTCAAGGAAGGCTCCAAGGCAGAAATGTACAAGCAGTGTCTGGACTGTCTCTGCCTTGATACGAGGGTCAATAATTCTCCACCAACAGCTAGTTCCACCTGATCTTCATGGACATTAGATTCATCACTATAATTCCTGCTTGAGCAATATATAGGGTATATTTAAGCAATAAGGCCCGAGAAAGTGTGGTATATGGCCAATATACAACGGCTAAGGGCTGTTCTTATGCACGACGCAATGCAGAGTGCCTGGACACAGCTCTTAGCCGTGGTACATTGGCCATATATCACAAACACCCGAGGTGCCTTTTTGCTATTATAAACTGGTTACCAACGTAATTACGTTTTTTCATACCCGTGGTATACGGTCTGATATACCACAGCTGTCAGCCATCAGCATTCAGGGCTCGAACCACCCAGTTTATCATTAGTAATATACATGGCCCAAATCATTTGCAGCAAGGAGATGATAAAAACAAAAACAAATCTGTAACAAACCCTGTTTGCAAAATTACATATCTACTACACGCTCTATGGTGTTCACTCCATTACACTTGACCACGGACACAAACATTTCTTAGATTCCACCATCTCAGTTTACACAGGCTTTCTTGTTTAGTGTAAAGTAAAGAGGTCTGAAATAACTGAACCCTTGCAACGAAGAACCATACATCATTTTGGAAAATGTTGTTGACTTGACATATCTCTACTTGTATAGTCAGTGATTTACATACATACTTCAAAAGTTTGGGGTCACTTAGAAATGTCCTTGTTTTCAAATGAAAAGCAATTTTTTTGTCCAATAAAAGAACATAAAATTGATCAGAAATACAGTGTAGACATTGTTAATGTTGTAAATGGCTATTGTAGCTGGAAACGGCTGATTTTTAATGATATATCTACATAGGCCCATTATCAGCAACCATCAGTCCTGTGTTCCAATGGCATGTTGTGTTTGCTAATCCAAGTTTATCATTTTAAAAGGCTAATTGATCATTAGAAAACCCTTTTGCAATTATGTTAGCACAGCTGAAAACTGTTATGTTGATTAAAGAAGCAATAAAACTGGCCTTCTTGAGACTAGTTGAGTATCTGGAGCATCAGCAATTGTGGGTTCGATTACAGGCTCAAAATGGCTAGAAACAAATAACTTTCTTCTGAAACTCGTCAGTCTATTCTTGTTCTGAGAAATGAAGGCTATTCCATGCGAGAAATTGCCAAGAAACTGAAGATCTCGTACAACGCTGTGTACTACTCCCTTCACAGAACAGCGCAAACTGGCTCTAACCAGAATAGAAAGAGGAGTGGGAGGCCCCGGTGCACAACTGAGCAAGAGGACAAATTCATTAGAGTGTCTAGTTTGAGAAACAGGCGCCTCACAGGTCCTCAGCTGGCAGCTTCATTAAATAGTACCCGCAAAACACCAGTCTCAACATCAACAGCGAAGAGGCGACTCTGGGATGCCGACCTTCTAGGCAGAGTTGCAAAGAAAATGCCATATCTCAGACTGGCCAATAAAAATAAAATATTAAGATGGGCAAAAGAACACAGACACTGGACAGAGGAAGTGTTATGGACAGACAAATCGAAGTTTGAGGTGTTCAGATCACAAAGAACATCATTTGTGAGATGCAGACCAAATGAAAAGATGCTGGAGGAGTGCTTGATGCCATCTGTCAAGCATGGTGGAGGCAATGTGATGGTCTGGGGGTGTTTAGTCGCTCTGGATAAGAGCGTCTGCTAAATGACTAAAATGTAAATGTAAATGTAAAGTGGGAGATTTGTACAGGGTAAAAGGGATCTTGAAGAAGGAAGGCTATCAACGCCATGCCATACCCTGTGGACGGCGCTTGATTGGAGCCAATTTCCTCCTACAACAGGACAATGACCCAAAGCACAGCTCCAAACTATGCAAGAACTATTTAGGGAAGAAGCAGTCAGCTGGTATTCTGTCTATAATGGAGGGGCCAGCACAGTCACCGGATCTCAACCCTATTGAGCAGCGTGGGAGCAGCTTGACCGTATGGTACGTAAGAAGTGCCCATCAAGCCAATCCAACTTGTGAGAGGTGCTTCAGGAAGCATGGGGTGAAATCTCTTCAGATTACCTCAACAAATTGACAAATAAAATGCCAAAAGGTCTGCAAGGCTGTAATTGCTCCAAATGGAGGATTCTTTGACGAAAGCAAAGTTTGAAGGACACAATTATTATTTCTATAAAAAATCATTATTTCTAACCTTGTCAATGACTACATTTCCTATGCATTTTGCTATATTTCCTATTCAAACTCATTTAATGTATACTTTCATGGAAAACAAGGACATTTGTAAGTGAGCCCAAACTTTTGAACGGTAGTATATATATATATATATATATATATATAAAACACACACATATATACACACACAATGAATAGACAACATGTACAATACATTTCCACAAGTTTGCAACCATGGATATTACAGTTCATTTATAATAATGAAATGTTAATAATTGATGGAGGCAATTCTTCTGTCGTAACTTCTATCAGGAGAATGATTGACCCTCAGTCACGGCTATGGCACCAATCCCCGTTGGGGGCGGCAGGTAGCCTAGCGGTTAAGAGTTAGGCCAGTAACCGAAAGGTCGCTGGTTCAAATCCCCGAGCAGACTAGGTGAAAAATCTGTAGATGTGCTCGAGCAAGACACTCAATCCTAATTTCTCCAGTAAATCGCACTGGATAAGAACTCCTTCTAAATTACTAAAATGTAAAGATGTGTGCAGGGGAGGCAGAGGATGGAGCCTGAACCAACCCGCCTTGAGCTGAAAAAGGCATTCCAGTCTATTCTCAGAAGGTAGGTGTGGTACAGTACGTAAGTGCTTTACCTGTGCCACCCCAGTGACAGTAATAGCTACACCCTCCGCTGTCTCTACATCCTCACACTTGGGCTGCAGGGTCATAATCTCAAGGGTTATCCTGTGGAGAATGTGGAAAAAAATCAAAATAGGCATGTTCTGGAGGGTGATAGCAAATGAATAGAAGGGAAGTAAAAACACAAAAAGAAGGAAATAAAATAAACATTCACCCAAAAGACTCCTCCTCCAGGGAGGTGACAACAGGATGTAATAGAATGCATTTTTCCCAGAGCTCAAAATATAATTGGATTCCCAAATGTAGATGTGATGTTCATTGAATCACCATATTGAAATAAATATCAAGTAATGTTAACTTGTGTTTATCAACAGCGTAATAGCTAGCAATGGTGGGACCCTTCTTTGCATCCCTTCTCAGAGCATTCATTATGGGGACCCTGTTGCCAAAGCCCATAGGAGTGTTAACGAACACAGAGGTTAGTTGTGTAGCAAAGCCCAATTAACAGGTTAATGACAGACCGCTGACTCTCTCTCCCTTCCGCTGCAGAGGGAGAGAACAACGTGACATGGAGAAAGAAGGAAAAACAGAGACACACAGTAGTTAGCCAGTTAGTCCACCCGTTTGTTTGCCTCTGACGTTTTGTTTGGTTCTTGTCCAGTCAGTCTATGCCTTACTGTCTGTCGTCTTTCTGGTCTTTTCGCAGCTGTCTGAAGCATTACCTGAGCCACCCCTGTCACATCCAGGGGGACACCTTCCGAGGTTTCGATATTCTCACAGCGACAGAGGATGGTCATTATCTCCAGAGACATCCTAGGCAGGCAGGTGGAAGGGTGGTAGGAATAGGAGAGGCAGGAGAGTGAGTATAGTATATCCGTACAATAGCTGTTAGGGATGTCAGTAATGGAGGGTCAGGGGTGAGAGGGGTGGGATAAGAACTAGAAGATACTCTAGGAGGAAGGGGCATTGGTATCTCTAGTCTAGGCCTACGCCATAGACTCTACAGCAAAAAAGGAACCATTGTGTAACCTAAACACCAGAGGCAGAACGCTTCAGATAGACTGGAGAAGCCTTCAGTTCCATCAATTATCTAATGCTAGTATGCTGGTGTTTACATTACAAGCACGAACACAGCACAGCCGGCCAGTTCTCTCCCCAACACAACAGACAGCAACAACTAGGACAAAGGGCATGAGTCACAGGGAAGGATTGGATTGGTCAACATAGCAGACAGAAGCATTCTTAACACCACATCTGAGATTAAGACAAGAGATTACTCAAAAATGCAAGTCCCTAATGACAATCGCTACTGCTTTGTTGAGGCTCGCTAAACAAGTCTAGAGCAGGGTTTCTTAAACTATGGGTCGGGACCCAAAGTGGGCCCTGGGCATGTGAGAGTTATGAGAATAAATATATAATCACACACTATTTCTTCTTAATTTGGGTCGCTGGAGGACTGTTAATTTCTCATTTGGGTCTCGAGCTGAAAAGATTTAAGAACCCCTGGTCTAGAGCAGTGGTTCTCAACTGGTTTTCCCCCGGGACCCAAATTGAACCAGGTTGTCTGTTGCAACCAAACATTCGCATCGCGAAAAATTATCACCAAATTACAGTATAGAAAACTATTTTTAACGAGATATTGATAGTAAATGTAGCAATTATTTCTTTAGAGTCTAAGACGTTGGGGAGTGTGGGGGTGGGGGGCTTTACTACTAAAGCCCACAAAAACGCATTGAATAAACACATTCATAAAATGGCAAAGGACAGTCCAAAAATAAATCATAACAAACAAGGTTGAAGTGTCAGTCCTAAATCTAGGATATAAAAATAACTCAAATATACAGTACCAGTCAAAAGTTTGGACACCTACTCATTCAAGGGATTTTCTTTATTTTTACTGTTTTGTACATTGTAGAATAATAGTGAAGACATCAAAACATTGAAACAGATATGGAATCAAGTCACCAAAAAAAAAGTGTTAAACAAATCAAAATATATTTTAGATTCTTCAAAGTAGCCACCCTTTGCCTTGATGACAGCTTTGCACACTCTTGGCATTCTCTCAACCAGCTTCACCTGGAATGCTTTTCCAACAGTCTTGAAGGAGTTCCCACATATGCTGAGCAATTGTTGGCTGCTTTTCCTTCACTTTGCCGTCCGACTCATCCCAAACCATCTCAATTTGGCTAAGGTCGGGGGATTGTGGAGGCCAGGTCATCTGACGTAGCACTCCATCACTCTCCTTCTTGGTCAAATAGCCCTTACAGAGCCTGGAGGTGTGTTGGGTCATTGTCCTGTTGAAAAACAAATGATAGCCCCACTAAGCCCAAACCAGATGCGATGGCGTATCGCTGCAGAATGCTATGGTAGCCATGTTGGTTAAGTGTGCCTTGAATTCTAAATAAATCACAGACAGTGTCACCAACAAAGCACACTACACCATAACACCTCCTCCTCCATGCTTCACGGTGGGAACCACACATGCAGAGATCATCCGCTTACCTACTCTGCGTCTCACAAAGACACAGTGGTTGGAACCAAAAATCTCAAATTTGGACTCATCAGACCAAAGGACAGATATCCACCAGTCTAATGTCCATTACTCGTGTTTCTTGGCCCAAGCAAGTCTCTTCTTCTTATTGGTGTCCTTTCGTAGTGGTTTCTTTGCAGCAATTCTACCATGAAGGCCTAATTCACGCAGTCTCTTCTGAACAGTTGATGTTGAGATGTGTCTGTTACTTGAACTCTGTGAAGCATTTATTTGGGCTGCAATTTCTGAGGCTGGTAACTCTAATTAACTTATCCTCTGCAGCAGAGGTAACGACTGCACTTGAAGAAACTTTCAAAGTTCTTGAAATGTTCCGGATTGACTGACCTGAAATGTCTTAAAGTAATGATGGACTGTAGTTTCTCTTTGCTTATTTGAGCCGTTCTTGCCATAATATGGACTTGGTCTTTTACCAAATAGGGCTATCTTCTGTATACCACCCCTACCTTGTCACAACACAACTGATTGGCTGAAACGCATTAAGAAGGAAAGAAATTCCACAAATTAACTTTAAACAAGGCACACCTGTTCATTGAAATGCATTCCAGGTGACTACCTCATGAAGCTGGTTGAGAGAATGCCAAGAGTGTGCAAAGCTGTCATCAAGGCAAAGGGTGGCTACTTTGAAGAATCTCAAATATAAAATCAATTTTTTTTGGTTACTACATGATTCTATATGTGTTATTTCATAGTTTTGATGTATTCACTATTATTCTACAATGTAGAAAATAGTAAAAATAAAGAAAAACCTTGAATGAGTAGTTGTGTCCAAACCTTTGACTGGTATATATATATATATATTGCTCAAAAAAATAAAGGGAACACTAAAATAACACATCCTAGATCTGAATGAATGAAATAATCTTATTAAATACTTTTTTCTTTACATAGTTGAATGTGCTGACAACAAAATCACAAAAATTATCAATGGAAATCAAATTTATCAACCCATGGAGGTCTGGATTTGGAGTCACACTCAAAATTAAAGTGGAAAACCACACTACAGGCTGATCCAACTTTGATGTAATGTCCTTAAAACAAGTCAAAATGAGGCTCAGTAGTGTGTGTGGCCTCCACGTGCCTGTATGACCTCCCTACAACGCCTGGGCATGCTCCTGATGAGGTGGGGATGGTCTCCTGAGGGATCTCCTCCCAGACCTGGACTAAAGCATCCGCCAACTCCTGGACAGTCTGTGGTACAAAGTGGCGTTGGTGGATGGAGCGAGACATGATGTCCCAGATGTGCTCAATTGGATTCAGGTCTGGGGAACGGGTGGGCCAGTCCATAGCATCAATGCCTTCCTCTTGCAGGAACTGCTGACACACTCCAGCCACATGAGATCTAACATTGTCTTGCATTAGGAGGAACCCAGGGCACCAGCATATGGTCTCACAAGGGGTCTGAGGATCTCATCTCGGTACCTAATGGCAGTCAGGCTACCTCTGGCGAGCACATGGAGGGCTGTGCGGCCCCCCAACGAAATGCCACCCCACACCATGACTGACCCACCGCCAAACCGGTCATGCTGGAGGATGTTGCAGGCAGCAGAACGTTCTCCACGGCGTCTCCAGACTCTGTCACGTCTGTCACATGTGCTCAGTGTGAACCTGCTTTCATCTGTGAAGAGCACAGGGCGCCAGTGGCGAATTTGCCAATCTTGGTGTTCTCTGGCAAATGCCAAACGTCCTGCACGGTGTTGGGATGTAAGCACAACCTCCACCTGTGGACGTCGGGCCCTCATACCACCCTCACGGAGTCTGTTTCTGACCGTTTGAGCAGACACATGCACATTTGTGGCCTGCTGGAGGTCATTTTGCAGGGCTCTGGCAGTGCTCCTCCTGTTCCTCCTTGCACAAAGGCGGAGGTAGCGGTCCTGCTGCTGGGTTGTTGCCCTCCTACGGCCTCCTCCACGTCTCCTGATGTACTGGCCTGTCTCCTGGTAGCGCCTCCATGCTCTGGACACTACGCTGACAGACACAGCAAACCTTCTTGCCACAGCTCGCATTGATGTGCCATCCTGGATGAGCTGCACTACCTGAGCCACTTGTGTGGGTTGTAGACTCCGTCTCATGCTACCACTAGAGTGAAAGCACCGCCAGCATTCAAAAGTGACCAAAACATCAGCCAGGAAGCATAGGAACTAAGAAGTGGTCTGTGGTCACCACCTGCAGAACCACTCCTTTATTGGGGGTGTCTTGCTAATTGCCTATAATTTCCACCTGTTGTCTATTCCATTTGCACAACAGCATGTGAAATGTATTGTCAATCAGTGTTGCTTCCTACGTGGACAGTTTGATTTCACAGAAGTGTGATTGACTTGGAGTTACATTGTGTTGTTTAAGTGTTCCCTTTATTTTTTTGAGCAGTATATATATATATATATATATATATATATATATATATATATATATATATATATATATATATATATATATATATATATATATATATATATATATATATATATACAGTGAGGAGAACAAGTATTTGATACACTGCCGATTTTGCAGGTTTTCCTACTTACAAAGCATGTAGAGGTCTGTAATTTTTATCATACTTCAACTGTGAGA